GGCAGGGTGGCATAGTAACCTTGTTTTAGATAACATCATTAATAAGATTCTTGGCTACACTCAAACCAGTTTGAAGAATATACTTTATTATAAAAATGTGCAACTATCCACAAAACTTTATTAGGCAGTATTTTATATTACAATCATTGGAGAAGTCAAAGTCGGGTCTTTGCTATTCTTCTGTCCTTGTTCATGTCTTACCAGAACTAGGTAATCACACTTTACAACTAAATGACACTGGTGGAATAACAGTGACTTCCATATGATACATTACTAAATTGTGATTTTCATGAATGTAATATCAAAAGCAAGAGTAATGCTTGCACAGCTAAGTAGTTTTGATAGTCAGAAATGAAAACTTGGAAGTTTTGTTCCATTGTGGAAACCCAAAGGCAATACGGTCAGTGTGAGAATTTGTTATTTGGAATATTAAACATTAAAATGCATGGTTGGATAAAAATATTTTCCTATGATTGTAAATGCATCACTTTGAATAAGGTTTATTGGCAAAATACACTGTAGCAATAACTTCTAAGTAAAATCACACTTGAAGAGCTTTGTGGAGAATGTACAATCTGTGCGGCTAGTCTGGCGCTGATAAACAGCCCAGGCCTTGCTTACGGAATCTCACCCACCGAAAGCTTCCCTTGCACTCACTGCTTGCTGCCTGCCCATGAAGCTCCCTGAAGCCTTTTTTCAGAAGGGTAAAGGAAAAATGACCAAATATATGTATTTAACAGACCAAATATTTTGGTGTTCTGTAACAATGAAATAAATTATGAGAGTCTTAATGGCTGTGTGAACCCTGCTTGTGAGAGAAGTACGCAGAACTCAGGAAATTTAGAGTAAGGGGTGACTTAATGTAAGGCTCTTGAGAAGAAAAAAAGGTAGTGTGACATGACGGATGGTCAGCCTTTGAATCACCTGAATTGTATCCCTGTTTTAAATCAGAAGGATGGATTTCCACAGAGTAAGCTTATGGATAAAGGAAGGGGCAAAATCTGGCTTTTGGTATAATGTTAAAGTAATATGCAGACAAAGTTTATGTCAGGTTTTTTTCCAGTTGATTTTGGCACCATTATTGCTTTGTTCTTTCATCCCACAAATGTCACTTCTACTGCTGGCAGAAATATTGTTTGGGGCTGATGTTTTGTCACTGCAAACATACTCAGGGTATTGTGAACAGGACTGGACCTTTGTCACTGCAGCCATGTCCCAGGATGTGCTACAGTGCTACTCGAGTCTCTCCAAAAATAACAGTGTTATGGGCTGAGAAAAACCCTACCTTGAAGTCGGTAGCTAGACTTGGTTCAAATCAACTTGGAGTAGACATTGCAGCTATCTGTCTACGTGCAATCTTAATTTTTTGCTTTCTTGGATTTGATAAGGACTCGGGCTGTTGTTGGCTGGGTTAAGACTGCCAGGAGCAGGCTCACGGACATTGTAGAGGTGTGAGCTTCACTCCTGGTGGTGTAGCGAGTCACTGAGGTTAAGAGACTTTCTTGTATCAGCTTTGATTGCTTTTGAATTGGCGTTGTGGAATACTTAGGCTAAATGGCTTTTTCAAGCACTTACTGCATACAGAAGCTGCCGGTTCCCGAGCAGGCTCATGGCATGGTCAGCGCAGCAAGCTGCTCTCACCAAAAGAGCCCCCCACCTTTTTTAGGTACTGGTTCCACAGGCAGATGCTCATTGTGATCGAATTTGCTGCCTAGGGGAGCAAGTTTGGCATCAGGTGACAGCTTAAACCCGGTCTGTGTAACATAGAATGTAGGTCTCCTCTATTTGCTTGGTTTAGACCACAGCCTAGCAGACACTTTAGCATACTTTTCATTTAAAACAGAGCTATTACTCGCTTAAGTCTGGTTTGTGTCCACTCTCTGTTGTCCTGCGAATGGATTATGTGGGCTCCACAGGTGCTCAAGCGAGCTGTGGATGGGCTGTGGACCTGGAAGCGCTACGGCCACATTTCCACGGCACCATGCTGGCTGGATTCGGCTGGTCAGCATGCAGCCCAGCCACCTGTGTCACTGACCTGTCTTTTCTCCATCATACCTTTCGTCTCCTTCATACCGTATGTGCCTTCAGTCTAATTTAAATACTCTTGATACTGTCTGCGGGTTTTGTTTTATCCTGGGTATCCCAAACTACTTTCAGCTCAGTTATGTGAAAGTTGACTGTAAGCAGCTAAGTTGAACACATGCATAATACAATATATATTCAGTTTCTTTGAAACCTAAAGGTCAGGAGTGTACACAAGTGCTCTGCTTATTTGTGGCTATTTGGCATTAGGCTGTATTTGACAGAAAAGATTAAACACTGGGCAAAAGTGACAAAAACATAACTCGCTTTTGTAGTGCACTTGCTATATACATTCTCATGAAAAACTGAAATACAAGGTAAATACATACTTATTTTATTCCAGGCTATAGAATAAGTGTATCTAGGCAGTTTTTCAAAGTGTATTGTACACTGCATGCACAATAAATCAGTTTAATAGCTTGACTGTTTTACAATTTGTGTTCAAAGAACTGTATGATAGGCAATGAGATCATGTTACGGCATGACTTATTGTCCATTTGGACCGTATCCATTTTTTCATAAAAAAAATTTGGGAAACCCAAACTGATAGATGACATGTATATTAAACATTTTAACATGAGCATTTGGTCCAAGAAAGAAACTTCACATGTTATGTTCAATTTTTAAATCCCTCCAAATAGAGGATTTAAGACAAGAAATTTTGAACGTGATTTCATTGCAGTATTACACTGAAGATCGGTGTAATATTTTTCAAAATACAGATTTTGGAATCTTATGCTAGAAATCAAGATAGTATTTTAGGGCCCGCACATTTAGCTTTAAAACGGTCCTTGAAAGGCTGACTTGTCTATGTTGACAAGAACTTCTACCTGTGTGAAATATCTTATAAAGATAGCTTATGACTAGCAGGTCACCATCAAATAGTAACATTAAGAATATTCAAGTCTACATTTGTAAAGACTTATGCATGCAGTTTTATCTCTTACACATTGTTTAGATGTGTGGACTAAATGTATTGTGCCTCAAACACCAACAAACTTGAAATTACACTCTGTAAATATATACATATATGATGCTGTATATGTTTAGTACCACAGTAAATATAACTGTAATCAAATGATACTAGACATATGTAGGACCATAGTTAAACTCCAATTAAGAAAAAAAGCCAGAAAAATTCATTTTTTCTAACAGTATTTCACAGTAGAAGGAGGCAGTCCTTTCTCACTGAATTTCCCCCCCTCAGGATTTGTAAACATCAGTATAATAATTGAGTATTTTATTCATAATGGTAAGTAGCTAACCAACATGAATAAAGTTGTCATAACACAATAACACTTTCAGACAAAACAGGTATTTATTAAAAGAAACATTTATAAATATTTTGTCTTGCATTTTAAACTACATTTTCATAAATAACAATATTTAAAAGTGCTGAATATGGTAGGATAGTCAGCAACGCCACTGTAAACAGATTTGTTTTCCACTTTGCAGATTTTTTTTTTAGATCCCATTTTGTCAAACACTACAACAGTTAAAATATTTGCATAGGGAATAGAGAATAGCCCTTTTAATCATCTCCTGAATTCTATATAAATTACAAAACCAAATGAGTTTAAGAAACAGTTAGTTAAATTGTTCGTATATATATCCAAAAAAAGCACACAGGTTTCAAGTAAAAAGAATGATTAAAAAATTCCCCAGACTTGCTATTTGAAGCATGTTCAATAAATTAAAAAAATGAGAGGTAGTAAAACAAAGGAAAAAAAAAAGCCCCAGAAGATAAACTAAGACCTGCATCCTACCAGTTGCTGTATGGCAGCAGAGCCGCCTGGGCAGCAGCAGCTCCAGCGAGAGGCCGCCTGCAAGGAGTAACTGGGTGGTTGGGGCCAAGTGTCTTGGGGCTAGATTCCGCTCAGGGACACGGCTGCCAGACCTTCCAGTCCCATCGAAAGCAACGGGCTCGTGCCACGTTTAGTCCTAAGTAAGTGAGAAGAACTTTGCCTCTTAAGTCATTTCTCGGTACATCTTTAGCAGTTTGTGAGGGATGCTAACGCTCATTTTGCTTGTATGTGCTAGGTATGAAGATGGGGTTTTTTAAGTTCCGAGTCACTGTCTCTTTAAACATCAAAATGCATCCTAAAATTGGACGTTTTTTGATAAAAAGGCCAAGCAAACTCCTATTAAAAACACCATGGCAGCCAAGCCGATGGGAGTACCGTGCTGCCTTAGCTCTGATTAAGGGCTCAGTACAGGATTCTTTACCCAGGAAAGACACCTGGTGCGTTCCCGTAGGCATTTTGCTTGGGTAAGGACTGTAGGTTGAGGAGCCCTTGAAGTTTGGTTTAATATTACTTTCCAAATAACCCCTTGTTTTCAAGGAGCTACTCAAAATCAATGAGGCTAGAAGCTAGGATGAGTCTTCTTTAACCCGCCACCTCGTAAAACATTACTTTGTTTAAAAACATTTTTTACTGGACTTAGCTTTCAAAAAAAATAATCTTACAGGACAGATGCAATTCATCAAAATGTTCTAAAATGCTCTAAAATGCTACATGTAGGCAATCTTTTATTAAATTTCTTTATTCAAAAAACTAAATTATCAAGCTTTTTGTTTTTTTGTTTTTGTTATTTTTTTGCTGAAGTACATAACATTATACAACAGTGTTAGAACTGGATAGCCAGTCTTTAATAAATCAATTACAGTATCTGACATCTGAAATGTACATTGAAAATCTTTGTTCTTTTAACAATTAAACAATATCAGCGCATAGATTGTGTCACCCAGATATGGATCCCTTTAAGTGGTTTGTGCTTTTTTTTTCTTCTTTTTTTTTTTTTTCTTTTTTTGACATTGCAAACTCTGTAATGAAAATGCCACAGTTTTGGCAGTGAACAACCAGAGGAATCCTCCGCTTGATTTATTTTAAATAAACAGTGATAAATAGCTCTTTTTTTCTGTACAGAAATATTGGCTTCAAAAAGTCAGTGTATTGTACTCAGTAGAGCATGTTGAGTAATGCTACACCTTAAAAATTGGCTTTTTTCAGTTAGTGATGTTAAAAAATGCAAGCCTCTTTCTGGTTTGCTGCAATTGTTTCTATGTACCATAAGACTGTATTGCACAAAAAAAGTTCTTAAATACAGATTAATTTATGTTATTGGATTAAATATTGCAACAACTAAGTGGTAAGTGAAGCAGTTTTACCTTGCACATGCAGTGTGAGGATACACAAGGAGACTGTTCATAAAACTACAAATACATCATTGCAATCTTGACTGCAGTAGGGTGAAAGGAGTGTGAAACAAATGTATTTTGGCAAATCCATTGTTCCCCTCCCACGCCATCTCGAGCAAGGAGGACCTTGGTAAAAATGTAGACAGAGACCATAATATGTATTTGTTTTCTTCACAGTAGCCTGAGTAGTGCTAAACTGTAGTTCTCCAGGAACCCAGCTCCAGATGTTATTAAACTACTTTTCTTCCATCCCACCCACCCCCAAAAAAATCAAGTTATTTTGTTTGAAAATTAAAACTAAGTTTCAGAAGTAGAGCCTGTAATACTTTCAACAAGAGACTTATAAATCTGAGAGTTCAAAAACCTTGGAAAAGAGTCTCTGTGCATTAGGGTGTATATCTGGAGTTGGGCATCTTCGTACATGTGAGGGCTGGGATCCAACAAGTTTCTGTTGATCACTTCTCTCACCCGGGAATCAAGACTAACCTGAAGAAGATGAGAACGGACTAACGTTAAACAGTAATATCGGAAAGGCTGTTGTACGTATCTTTATTTCTCAGGGCTCCATTGAACATGCCGAGTGTATCAGCTTATTCAAGTAATGCTCCGTGCTTCTCTCAGAGCCACCACGCAATTACAGACTGAGACCATTAACTCTGTTTCAGTTTTGACTTGGTCTTTGCAGCCATCTTAAGATCTGTAAGATGAAATGCAGCTGTATAACAGAATAAATACAGTGCAACTAAATAAAGCTCTGCAGTAGCCTGGATTTCCCAAAGTATGTTATTTTACCTTAAAAAAATAATTTTTACGTATTTATAATTATTTCTCTGAAATGAATGTTGAATGACTCCCATTCAGAGAGCTGAAATGTTTTTTTCCTGACCACTTGTGGTTAAATCTTTAGAAGCTTTCTATTCAGCATTCTCATCTGTCTGCCCTACAGATTTTTCTCCCATTTTTTTCAGGCACTATACTTGTTACTCACAAGTTACCCAGAGTTTTTTATCATTGTTATCATGTTAATCTCCCCATTAATATTAAGTATCTCAGATTTGTTCTTCTTTTCAAGATTCTTTAACATCTGGTAATTTATACTTTCAGGATATCTTGTGTCCACATTGAAGTTGTTAGCAGGTTTCAGTTTTAGCTTCTCATTTACTTTCCATTTGTAATGAACTCCTGTGCCTAGGCAGAAAAGGGCATAATATGCTTGGGATGAATGCACAGGTGATTTTAGAATATCATTTAGAAATTTGAGTGAATGTACAGCTTATCCACAAAATGCTCTAAAAACAGTAAAATTAATGCCTTCTGGATTAAACGAAATGGCAGTAGCAGGAAAGCCCACTGGGGCCAGTAGGGGTTTACTCAGCTAAGAAGAAAGAGGCTAAAGCACTGAGTAGAGAAATACCAAGAATAGATCAGTTAAGCTACTGTGATTTACACCAGCTTGCAACCTGACCCTGCTACTCTGCAACCATACAAATAGATAGTCATACTGTCTGAAGGATTGAGTTCAACCCTGGAAAGCTCCACGTACCAGGATACCTTGGTATGTGAAGGATGCTAACTGAGATGAAAACTCAGAACGTGTGTCGATGCTAATTGGTTCTTCATTATCAAACATAATAGCTGGAATAAAAAGCTCAAATTTGGCAGGATGGTGGGGTTTTGTGCCATTGAATATAGTAAAAGTTAATTGCACTTATGGAATGAAAAAAAATTAATTATGAAACTATTAATTTACATTGTAGTTTTTCAGTGACTCACTAAAGCGAGATGGCAAAACTAGTTGGAATTACTAAAGGTATTTCCTTACTAAACAGATGAATACAAGATATCTGTTTAGAACACTAAGACCTTCTGCCTCAATAACTTCATCCCTGAACAAGTGATGCTAAATATTTCAGCTCTTATGCCAGAAGATAACATCTGGACTGGGATGCCTGGATGAACAAGAACTTTTCAGCTCCCATGCTGATCTAAAGCCTTGCAAACAGTTCTTGTTTGCCTCATAAGATTTCCAGTAGGGGCAGGAGCAACTGGATTGATGATATCCGCACATGTCCAGTGCATCAAGTTTGTGAGTAGTTTTGTTAAATCCTAAGTCAAACAACACTTAGTGTTTGAATTTTGACTGCTGGTTGATCTCAGCTTAAAAAGACAACTGAGCATTCAGCACATATATGTGTACTAGAGATACTACATTATAAGAAAAACTCATTATTAGCTTGCTGTGCTGGCAGTTATCTCACTCCAAAGCAAAAGTATACACTGTGGCACGAGAGAAGATAATGGAGCTATAAATTGCTGTTGGCTTCATTCATATGAATGAAGTTGCAAATTATTACTGAATGCCGCACAGAAGTAAAATGTAGGAAGCAAGGTCCACAGTGAGCATAAATCAGCATAACACCATTGAGTAGAAAGTCAGATGCAATGCACAGAGAGAAGGCAAAGGAGCTAAAGACACATGACGTGGCCTAAGAAAGACTCTTCTATAGTGCTTATATATTTACATATCTCTCTATTCCAAAACATGGTTTGACATGGGATGCTTTTTCTTTACTCCAGGTGAAGATCATTTCAGAATTTGTCTGTTTCAGTTTAAGGGCTGAAGAAAAACATATATAATTTCCTAGATACTATCATACCTTTCATTAGAGAAAATAAGTGGTCTCTATTCCTGGACTCTCACATAGGAATAACGAGTGCAAATTTGGATTTTCTCCCAGGCAGCTGTTGCTGCAGATAAATCTATAATGATTCTTATTTAAATTCTTTAATTTTGGTGCCTTTTCTCCAGAAATCCATTTGCATTACTTACTTCCTCTCTCTGGCAGGCATGTAGCATTACTAAAGAAGCATACCTATTTCTCAGCCTTCTCTTACTGGAGTTTCCTGAGCCTTATAGAGAGCTTTGAGGTATTGTGGCCAGTGATGCTAAATGGCCCGGCACCTGTGTCTCTACTTTTTCTGTCCCTACTAAGACTTCCATCTGACAGATCAGGCAGACTTTCAGACCCCCATCTGGCAATCCAGGGTATAACATTTCTGCTCTGGAATCCCAGAAAATGCAAATGTAACATTCTCAGCTTTACCTCTTTTGGTGATAGTATAGAAATGTAATCTTCATATATAAGTCTTGCTTTTTCTTCAATAACTTTCTTGTTCTGTTCCTTCTTTAGATCTTCACACGCAAGCCAGAAAAGCAGGTTCTCCTCACTATACTCTGTTCGAAGAAACTCTCTGAAAAGGTTCCTCCCAGCTGGTGTTTTCATCATCTTGTCAAAATTCTGAGCCCAAGACAAAATTTCATCTGCAGTAGGGTTTTGGCTGCAAAAGCAAAGTATCATTACAAATATGCTTCTATTTTTGTAACTGTGTTTTCATACATTCATCCAAAAATTCTCCTTTCAACTGCACTTTAGTCCAGTGAAAACTGGAAGCAACAAGGCTTCAGCAGTGACAGGGGAATTTTGTTCACTCTTCACTTGTGCATTCGTTATCTCAACAGCCCATTAAACGTGTTTAACGTTACGAGACATGCACTTGGCTTTCTACAGATTTTCTACTAGTGTTGTTAGCCATCAGACTCAAAGACAAAATCCCACAACAGCACTGAATTCCTGCCTCTGTAGTTAAAGGAGATGGGATTTCAGGGAGCTGGCAATAGACTCTCCTTCATGAGGGGTTTAGATGACACCTGATGTCCCTGCCTGCTTCTGATGGTGTTTGGCCAGTCACTGGCTGCCACACGATTTGGTTCAGGAAGGACAAGAAAAACAAAAGGCTCTCGGCAGCCAAGAGCATACTAATGAGGCCCAACAAAATACTAATTCAGAGAGCTTTTAAATTAGCATATTTCTCTGTGCTTGTACCTAAGGGTTGCTAAGCTTTCCTCTGTTTGGTGCTATTGACCTGAATGATGATCTGTTGGCACAAGATGTGATGGATGTTGCTGGCAAAACTGGGGAGAGAAGAAATGGGAAAAAGTCCTTATTCCCATTTTCTGAAGGAAACTATTCGTGGTTTGTAACAGTGGACGCACTGGATAAGTGATCAGAAGACTAACTTGCGTCACTAATCCATTAATCTAATCCATTAATGTACCAATGAATAGCTTGAGAAGGTAATACTTAACAACAATTAAATATGGTTTCAAACTTAATTCTGAGCGCTCACCCTCCCCTTCCTGATAGGATCCAACACAAGATCTTTACTAGCTGTTGTTAATAGCTTCTGTGTAATCATGTTGTACAATAAGCAACATTTGTCTATATGATTTCCCTTCAAGTCCATTTATCAGCTCCTACTCTGCATGCAAGGCAGACTGGATGATGGGAAGCTATTTGTGATAGCGTTTCGGCAGTCCAAAAGATCTAATAAATGAGAAAGTGTTTAACATTTAAACTATCCAGCAAAATAATTGTTATCTGAACCAGAAAGTATAAACATACAGATTTGAAGATGAAAAGTCCTCTCTCTGAGGAGAGTGATAAGAACCTGCTGAGGTGGATGGAGCTGACAAGCAACCTGTGCTCCCTCGTTGTCTATTGGGAAGCTCTCTTCACTACAGTATTTTGTGGAAATTTCTGACATTGTCCTCTCATAAATGACCATGAGTAGCAATGAAGACAATGAGTTGTTTGGGTTGTTCTTACCATCAATCATATCCTCTAGAGTTAAGTTTTAATTTACTTTTTATGGGATTAGAGAACTCAAGGTTAGCATTTTTCCCGACACAATAAACATGGGCCCAAGCTTTAGACAGAAATAGAAGCTCAAGACTTTCAGTGTGTGTTAGCCCGTTTTTCAAGGTATGTGTTTGTCTAGATAAACAGAAAAAAATGATCCCACAGGTAGCAGAGGCTTCTTATAGAGACCCACAGGTCTATGGAACCATCCATGCAACTCCCATTCCTCCCCACAGTTCTTCCCCACAAATAAGAAACTGTAAATAAGCCTGACTTATGAATGTCTCTGCTGGCATTTCATTGTCAGGACAGATTTTGTATAGAATCTTTTGGAGGAAAAGTAATTAAAGGGACATTCCCGAAGCATAAAACCCAAGACAATTCTTGATACTAGTTATAGGCAAATTAAAAACATGTACTAGACAACAGTATGACCAACTTACCATTCTTCTATGACTTGGATACTCTCCATTTTGGTCGTGTGTGTTGGCCTTCCTGCACTGTCTCCTCTATCTTCATTCCTAACAGTGAGGCTGCAATGTAGTACAACACTTTATTTTGTCTAGAGAAAGTTAATTTAAAATGATGACTATAGTAATGCAAAATTTTAAAAGATATAAACCTATGTAAAGTGTCATTTTTCACTCTTGCCCCTAAAATTTTGGAGAGAAACTTTTGGTAACGACTTTTCCCCTTAATTCTGATTAATATTAATTAACAGTTGCTATTAGCATGTGTAATTTTTCACAAGCTCACAGTTTATCCACTGAAAGATGGACACAAACTTAGAGGTCACTTTTGGAGTGATTTCACTTAGTAAATTGAGAATATTAGTAACAATAAGGGTAGGGAGGATAAGAATACCTGAATTGGACATTGATGAGGCTTTGGTGCCCCACCAGTTCTGGATGGTTGTTCATTCTTTATGAACGTTCCCTTTTTTCTCTCCAGGATACGGTGGCAGTAGATGGCTCAGATACAGAACTTAGCGTGTGGCAGCTCCTTATGATTTCCTCCTCTGACCTGAATTTGTTTTTCATTCCAAAAAGTAAAACTTACTGGCCTCTCAACAGAAAGGCATCCATTGCCCTCATATTACCACAAGCAAGGAAAAGAAAGACTTCCTTTATATAAGGATGTTTTTAATTTTTTTTTTTCTTCTTTGAGCTGGTAACTAGCATCACTTATTTTTCTGTAACTATCTTTTTAATCAGATTTGCTTTAGTAGTAGTGACTTTCTCTGTGTGTGCTCTCTATGAATGTTCTGGAACATGGTATTGCCAGGAAAAACACAATTCCTGATAACTACTGAAATAAAGCATATTTTGAATGACCTAAGTTCCAATAATTAAGCTTAAGAAGCGGAACATAGTAAGGAGATGGAGATTTCCCTTTATCAGGTGTTCCCTGCGTGTCCAATGAGGGAAAACAAGCAACCAAGCAAAAAATCCCCCCTCCCTATCGCAAGAGAGCTCATACTTTGAATATCGAGTATTCACCATACAATGATGCTCTCAGTCATCGTAAGTGGCGATATACAAAAATATGTTGGTAGCATAAAGCTTCTCCCTCCCCCACTAATCTGAGTAACTTCTGCTCAACTCTAAGAAGAAATCCCAGCTTTGAGACATTTTTAGCACAAATAACCTTTCTTTCTAGCCCCTCTGCATTTATGAGTTTCTTCAACATTTTTTCAAGTGTTTGGCAGAGTTAACAGGTGATCTCAAATACTCTTCTGAAAACTGGAAGTTTAAGCTCCCAGGTAAAGCAGAGCACGTATTAAGACTTAAACATTACAAAGACGTACACTTTCAAACGAAGCGGTTTGATACTGGTTGCTCCTTCACTTACCTGCCAAGACCTTAGTTCAGGCCCTTGGTCCTGCTTCCCCTGTTACAGCGTAGGAATGCAGCTCCAGTGCTGCTAAGGTGTTAGGGTGTCATCAACTGCTGCAGGAGAAACAACACATCCTGAACTCTGGGGTTGGCAGGTAAAAAGCCTTTCCGTCTCCTCTGACCTGTTTCTCGTCAGTCTATAGAGGGAGCACCCAGGAAAGCCAATGGGAGTTCCGTATACAGGAGGAGGAAAAAAAGGGACCATCCACTTTCTGTCTTGTAATCTTTAAGTCCACACATGTAACTGCTGAGGGTCACCTTGCATCTGGCCGGAGCACAAAGTTGGGGTGAGGGAGAAGCAGGGAAGGCACAAAGCTTCTCTCCCTCCCTCCCTCCCTCCCTCCTTTGCAGTCTGTAGGTAGAGCAGCATTTGTCTTCTCTGCTGGGTGCAGAGAACTGAGTGTCCTTTGGTTCCATGGAAGAGTAACACCATGGAAGGAGGAAACAGCTTGTGTATGTTGGGAGTGTAACACAGTCTGTCCAAAAGAGAATGAAGCTGCCCATTTTCTTTCCTCCATCACATGAGCAGCAGCTAAGCTGTACTGAGGTAATTTACTTGTCGGGCAGTAGACATCCAAGGTTTGGATGCAGAGTCTTACTGGAAGTAGAAGGTGACTCATCTGAGAGCAGTTAATCTACACTGCTAATTTAATTTGATGTCTGGGATCAAATGCCATTTGTTTTGCTCATGCGAGATCTCTGCTAAACTTAGGAAAACCAACATGGGCTGATGAAGGTGGAATACAAGTAGTGAGTGGTGAATAAGAAAGAGAAGTAGGAAGTCAGACAAGAAAGCCGTGTTGACTTTATTGCACTTTTTTATCAAAGCAGTAACGGATAGACCCTATGCATTCTGATTTTCTCACCTACATCTCACTACATCTCAGCAAAAAGTTCAGGTGGTAGGCCCAGAATGTAGCATGCAGTTTTCTGGTATCTATACCAGAGTGACAGTGCGAGGTACACACTTGGCCCTACTTCCTTCATCTCACCATTCGTAGCTGGAGTTCAATGGCTGAAGTTAGTCAGAGTTGCAAAACAGGGAGGACTCTAAAGAAAGAAGTGTTATACTTGGTTGGAACAATTTCTCAAGTTGGGGTATTGTATTTAAAACTGTGCTAAATTTATAATACATCTTGGCCTAAATTCTGCATTATGTTTCCAGTGACAAACACTAGCACTACATTTCAACTTTTATTTATCTACATCTGCCAAGGTTGGACTTCCATCAGATACATTACTTTTGATATGTTTTTCCTGTGAAAGAAACCATCATTTTTATACAGAAGTACGTTCAATTCAGACATGTTCTGTTTTCACTCAAGGAACTGGTTCATGTTCGCTTAGAAAAAAAATTCAATATTTACACATCTGTGACTGCAAAGCTAATTTGAAAGCAGCCTTTAAATAACTCTGATCACAATAACAGATTGCTACCTTTTACCTCAAAATGACAACACTGCATTGCTATTTGCTATGTTGTTATCTTCAGTTGAAAATACCCTATCTGTTCACATTTCTCTGTGGAATTCAGGCAGTCCTCAGCAGCAAAGGCACCCTGCATACCTGGAGTTGGTGTCCTTGATACATTATTCCATCATGGAAGCTAGCTGATTATGTCAGAAGAATTATGCTGTGTAGTGTAAAACTAAACAGAGTAAAAGTAACAGGATAAAGATGAACAAAATTATCTTACTTAGTTAAGGCTTTAAGAAGAGGAAATTGCTTATATGCCTTATGAAAAAGTAGTTAAATGAAAGGGAGGTGTTCTAGAGAGACCTCTGATGTAAATTAACATATATGGTGCCATTATTACTTATTAGTTGGAGTACCTCCAGCAGATATCTTTAAAATTTAGAGATGTAAATTACCCATGATAAAAGCACACAAAACTACTAATGCCTTAAAAAAAGAAAGCTTGGGGTGTCTAAAGGCAGAGTTTAAGTGGAAAGCACAAGCACTGATCTGTTTTCTGTTCCTATGTAAGGTTTGTTCTGTCCACTTTTATGCTGATTTTATTGCTCTGGAGAGTATGGTAAAAAGTACTTCAGTAAACCCAAGTGGCCTGAGCTCAATGTACCTTTCAAATATATCTTGGGTTCCTGACTTCTACAAAAACTATAGTTTCTTTAACTACTGCAACAGTATTATTATGAGTAATTTCTGTTTGGAGTGAGTGCATTTTTATTTTGCAACTTCACAGACATTATAAGTAAAAATGTTAATGACCAGGGACTACTTGAAGAAGTATACAAATTGAACAAATTACTGCATGTAAGGTTAAACTGGTCCGGGTTCCTAGCTGATGTGTTTTTGGAGTAACTACTGGGATTCAGAAAACCAATCTTTATTTATTTAGCTACTATTATTTGGCTGTTAATATTCATGTTCAGCAATTAAATAATTGTTCTGTTGAGTAATTACTTAGCTAAATCAGTATTGCAGGCCACTGGTGCATGGTGAAGTAAGAAAGCCCAGCTAATTGGATAAAATCATCAAGAGAGTTGGACTAATTTAAGAGCAAAAATCTCACTGACTCTTCCTCCAGGTGTTTCCAGCCAGTGGTTTTAGCCTTTTTTTAAAGCTGCTTAGCATCCCTACTGCTGCGCTTACCTTCTACTGCCATTAAGAAACTGAAAATCATTTAGAGCTTGGACCTGATCTTTCATTCTCTGTATATCCAGAACACAAATAGTCTTTAATTGCTTCCCAAGGGTCAGATTCTCGTGTACCAGTAGCCTAAATCTGGTGAATCAGTGAAATCACTGTTACCGCTATGGCAAGAAAACTATGCCATTGTGACAGGTGCTAAGATTAATATTTTGCCCATGCGTGGCTAACACCATGTTAGTATTCACCAGTTACTATTCACTCAGCTATTTTCTCAGTTATGTGCGTCATATGCAGTATATCATCACAAGATTTTGCAATTATGTCTGGCATTGAAGACAATGTGATGACTAAAGCCTCTTGCCTTAGTGGTGTTTTTTGTGCTGCCATGAAGATAAGGAGTAGAAATCAAACTGGGACACCGTGAACTAGTTGGTAGGCTGCTGGGTTGCCATTCAGGAGATCTGTGCTCAATCCTACTTCTTGGCTGAAGTTTGTAGATGCTAGGCCCTGCAGGGCAACGATTACATTTTAGGCTGAACTGTGTATGTCACACAGTAGGGCCAGGAGCCCTCTGGCCACCACTGTAACACAAAACCCCTCCTCATTCCGTCCCAAAGGCCACGTGAAGTCTGTTGCACATACATAATCTAAAGGCAGAATTTGGTTTTCAGATGAAAATCAATATTCAGTTAAGATCCTCTGGAAAACAGATGTTCTGACATGTTTCTTTCGCTATTCTACCCTTTGAAAGAGTATATCTCACTGGCACCACTCTTCACCCTATTCTACTCCTAGGAATTTTTATTATCATCAGATCAAGAGACAAAATATTTTTAAGTCATAGGTCCAAAAGCCAAGAAGGATTTTTTTGATGCTTGAGTCCAGCTTCCAGTGCAAGTGGGCTACAGGCAGGGCTGCCATAACTTAAGTAATGGTGATTTAGTAGATGTAGGCTTTCTTAAAAAAACACAACTCCCACCTCCCAAAAAAACATAAGAGATCAAGATTTAATTGTGATTTTAAAA